ACCACAACAGTATGCATTACGTTTGAATTGATAACTGCGTTACAAAAAAATTCTGCTCACCTTAAACCAAGATCAATCCTTAATGTTAAAGTTTGTTTGTGAATGTTATTATTAGCAACAGCTAACATAGCAACTGATATTCCGAAAATGCACGGTATTGTTTTGAAATACATCAGAGATTATGGAGCTATGCTAGAATAGTTATTGAATATGACAGTGCAACTATTTATTTTCCTTTTAAAAAAATCGATTAAAATTTGTATTTTACGAAAAACAACTTCACATTTTAAATGCTTGATCGATAGTGCTGTATTACTTTAACAAAACATTATCTGTGCAAAAAAGTAATGAAATACGTTGTTAAGGGTAAAAATGAAATTCGTTAATGAAAAGGCGACATTTCTCTCCATGAATTATGTCTCAGTTGATAAGAAAATTATATACTTTATTTTTGAACACATCTAAACTAACAGAATCTTTTTCCATGATATTTATTAATAAAATGATTCCTTTTTAATACTTGATAAAATTATTTATCAAAATTTATCTTCAGTAGATTTAGGATAGGATGACTGCACTTAACGCCGGGTTTTGGGTCTTTTTCGGTCGCTTCTGTTGCTTTTATATCACAATCTCATTTCATTTTTAGATATTTATGAAAGAATCCTGTCAATTTCGAGCCGAATTTAAATATTAAAATGATCTTAGACTGTGATACAATAAAACGATTCTATGTTTTCTGCCCTTACTCTTTCCAAATATAGAGAATTTACACTTACCTGCCCTTGATTATACATTAGGTATGCATGAGAGGTGGAGCTAATATTGTAAGAATTGGTCTAAAATTAGACTAGATAAATAACAATGAAAATACGTGATCACTCTTTCCCATTCCCTCTTTATTCTGTATGGCACAAGTACTATTTTCAGAGGTTTCAGAAAAGAAATTAACAATATGAGCGACGTCAATGTAAAGAATCTTTTAAATCAATGCCTAACAATTTAACATGTTCGAGCACTTTGTCCTAGTTAGCACAAAACATGCTACTTTACAAGTCACGTGACGGAATTTAGTATTCACAGAGTTACCTGAGGTAAGAAATCACGTGGTGAATTATAATATTCAACATGTCACAGCCCTTGGTTACAATAGAGAGAGCGAATGTAAGAAGAAGCAGTTTTTTCTCTTTTTAACCATGAGCGCATGTTTGTCTATTAATCTCCTTTTGACACAACATTGTTAAAGCAAATATACAACTACTGTTAAACGGAGAACAATAGACAAACATGCGCTGACTATGTATAAAGTCAGTAAAAAAGTGGACGTCCTCATTATCGTACGGAGAATCAAGGAATTGTAGTGACCCTCGCCTTAGAAAACAGCTTCGTACTTCGTAAATACGTACTTTTATTTAATGTAATTACATAAAGTTGTAGATTAGATGTTGACCATTCGTGCAATTAAAAGAAAAATGCTTGTTTTGAAAGTTTATTTTGTCGCAATTTTCGCATGTCCATAAGTGCAGTCATCCTTTATTCGCCGTATATTGTAACAAAGGCAGTGCTTGCGTTGTATTTTCAATCTTCATCTTCGAGTAAAAATAAAGTCAAGAACTTGTTTGCAAAATAGCATTGAACAAATTGCACTTGGCCAATTTCGTGAATTCGATTTTACACGGGTCTTAAGGCCGGTACACACAGTGAAATTTGTACATGTATCATAACACAAGTATTATAATACTTTTTGTAGTACAGTACTTTTCTGTACACACGGTAATACAAATGTTATAAGATTGTAAATAAACGTAGATAAAATCATCTGCTGTTTTCCCCCACTATTTTTCTTAAAACAATTTCAATAGGGTTTTGAACCACTCTCACTCATTGTTACAATTCCTTTATTTTATTTTTTAGCTCTCTGCCACTATAGCACAAACATTATTTTTGCATTTATCCGAGTCGCTTAAATAAGAGGAAGACGTTTATGGCAAATAATATGATATTCTTTGTAAGAAAGAGATTCTGTTTTCTTTAAACTGTTTAATAAGAAGTCAAATCAACAGGTAAATTAGATAAAAATATGATGTTTGCATGTAATACATGACCCTTCTATACACACAGAACCATCTGAAATGTCAGCTAAGATTTATATTAAAGGTGCTTGGACACAGATTTGAAGTTAAAATTTTCTCAAATTTTTTGTATAATTTCATGACTTATATGTTTCTATAGCATTTCATACTAAAATATACTAAAATTCTTATTTCATCTCGAAGTTATTAAAACTTCGAATTTCTGGACGCGTTGGGTTGACACATCCTTGCGCGCTCTCACATATTTTAATTTTATTCTTAATACTTAAGAAAAGTGACAATTTTGTTGTGTATTAATGAAAAATATTAAAACTATAACCCAGAAAATTCAGAGCAGAAATGTTCGAAGGCAAAACCCACTCACAGTATTGTAAGTCTGTGTTCAGTGGTGTGTGCAGAGTTTTAACAATTGAACACCCCCGGTGAATCGAAAACATTAACAATAACAGAGTTCGTGCCCTGTTTACAAAAACAGTTTACGTTTACGGGTGTGTTCAATTTGTTAAACTCTGTACACATCACAGAGCACAGACTGACAATACTGGTGAGCTGGTTTTGCTTTCGAACATTTCTACTCTGAATTTTCTGGATTATAGATGTAATATTTTTCATTAATACATAACAAAATCGCTTCTTTTCTTAAATATTAAATATGATAAAGTTAAAATTTGTGCAAGTGCAAAGATGTGTTAATCAAACGCGTCCCGGAATTCGTAGTTCCAATAATTTCCAGATAAAATAAGTTTTCAATTACATTTTCGTGTGAAATGCTATTGCAATATATAAGTCGTGATATTATACAGAAAATTTGAGAAAATATTAAGTTCAAATCTGTGTCTAAGCACCTTAAGAAATGGAACATTGCTCTATTCTTAATACAGTTTCATAAGATTCGAAAAATCTTATGATACACTGTATTCAGAGTGTACACACGATAAGATTTTGTAGTATGATACAAGTATTATTATACAAATCTTACCGTGTATACCGGCCTTTAGACAAAGCTACGTTTCACATGTACATTGTAACGAATACAGTGTCTTTAATTTGCAAGGTCACTTGAGTTTCTCGGGTATCTTGCTATTTTCATCCAAGTAAACCAGTTTTGTGGGTAATGTGGAACCATTAACTTGAGTAATATGTATCATTAATCTTATTGGGATACAAGTATAACAAGAGGCCCATGGACCACAACGCTCACCTGAGTCACTTTGATCCTGCTGTTCTGCATCAACTTTTTTCCCAATACACATGTATTCCTATGTAAAATTTTGATCGTCTTTTGTGGCTCCATCCTATATACTGGGACCATGACTCGAACAAAAATGAATCTACACTACCACAAGATGCTTCAACTTTAATACAATTCATCACAGCTTGGCTGTTCTTGAGTAGAGGAGTTTTAAATATTTTCCTCTATATAATCCCTTTTGAGGCCCCAACCTACTCCCGGACCATGATCTGAACAATTAACAATATACACTAACTCAAGAATTTCAGCTTTTCTGGTCCAGCAGTTCTTAAGAAAACTTTTAAAGGTTTTGCCTATATATTTCAATGTAAAACTTTGATTTCCTATTGTGGCCCCACCCTACCCCTCGGGACCATGATTTGAACAATTCTAATATACTTCAAATGAAAGTAAAACTATAATCCTCTATTGTGGTCCAACCCTACCCCTGGGGACATGACTTAAATAATTTAGTCTACACTACTTCAGGAATTTAAGCCCTACACATATTAAGTTTCAGCTCTCCTCTTCCAGCAGTTCTTGAGAAAATTTTTAAAGGTTTTTCCTATATATTTCAAAGCAAGACTTTGAATTCCTATTGTGGCCCAACCCTACCCTCGGGAGCCATGATGTGAACAATTTAGAATCAACACTATACCTTAGGAAGCTTTCACAAAAGTCTTTCTGGCCCAGTGGTTCTTAAGATTTTTCCTATATATTTCAATGTAAAATTTTGAATTCCTATTGTGGCCCAATCTTACCCCTGATGGCCATGATATGAACAATTTAGAATCTACACTATCTTAAGAAGCTTCAACAAATGTTTCAGCCTTTCTGATCCAGTGGTTCTTGAGAATCTACACTACCTCAGGAAAGTTTCAAGTTTTCTGGCCCAGTGGTTCTTGAGAAGATTTTTTAATGACCCCCTCCCCCATTTTTGCCTTTTTTTTTTATTATTTCCCCTTAGTAGGGGGCTTGGCCCTTCATTTTAGAATCCCCTTTACCCAGGTATGCTTTGTACCAACTTTGGTTAAAATTGACCCTGTGGTTCTTGAGATAATTTGAAAATGTGAAAAATTACAGACGGGCAGACAGATGGACAGACAGACATACAGATGACAACAATGGGTGACCAGAAAAGCTCACTTGAGATTCAGCTTAGGTGATCTCAAATATTTATCCAATCTTCAAATATCTTATGGACTTTTAGCAGTCAAACTCTTTATGATGTTTAATGGACACTTTACAAAAATTACAAAATGTATATCCTTTGGATTACTTACATACATGTATGTCATATTCATTATAAAATATTTTTGGGATGTATTCAGTTTGGTTTTCTTACCATGGAATGTACAGCTGCAGCTTTAATGTTGGTAAAAAAGATCAGCTTATTCTTTTATGAAGTACATCATGTTTTTGCTAATTTTAATTTGTATATTAGCTAATAAATTAACAATAAGTGAATGTCAGATTGATGAAAACTGCAAGACACGCATGGTTAATTACAAGATACAGCTGGTTACAAACTTGAGGCCAAGAGGATTACTAGTATACATAATTCACTAAAACAATGTACATGTGGGACGTTTTATTCATGTACATATGAGATTCAATATTAAGCAAAATTAAGATATGTACATGTATCAATAACATAATAAATGGTATATAATTATGTTTGTCGAAAAAAAAAATCATTGCACATTGACAGATTCACTTTTCCACGAGTCCAGCATCCCTCATTTTACCCATGACGAATTTCTCCAGTGTGTTGGCACATTTATAATACTCTGTGTCGGGTTTGTTATAAGATCTACAGTTTGTAAAGATCCGGGTCATGTCAGCAATAAACAGTCTCTTGTGACAGTAGTATCGGTTTTTTAAACGTTCAGCCATCGTCTTCAGATCTAAAAATAAAATTAGAAGCACAAACTATAAAATTACTCTAATGTAATTTGTGAAATCAATAATAAAAAATCAACTTTCTAGAAATGTCCAAAAGTACAAACCCATGGGAAATTTAATATGGTCGTAATAATCTGGAGCCTCAGATTTCTCAACTGGCTTTAGGAAGGGCCAGGCACTTGCATGACTCTGTAAGTCACGTAGAAATGATTTTATCAATACTCCCATATCTACACTACATCAAAATGCACTGATATAACAATAGGATAAAATTAACTTACCCTGGCTTGTTGTATGATGGTCTTCAGAGTATTTTGTAGCTGATCAGGGTCCATAGGGGGATCTTTGCTGAAAAAAGTTTTGAATAGCAGTTGTTAATTAATAGAAGTGCATTTGATACGGCCTGTAGGAATAAAATGAATCATTTTTATGTAATCAAAAATTTATAAGTCAATTTAACTTTCAGATGGTTATTCAAGCCTAAAACAAGCTGAACATATATACATGTAGATCTACATATTCAAAATATTATCCTTGATTGTTCAAATCTATAGTAGCAAGAGTTTATTATCTCTTATAAAACTATTTACTCAACAAATGAATATGTTCTTCTGCATAATATACATGTATATGGGTAATTCAAATACTGGTACTAGCTAAACATGTTTCACAACTTTTTACCCACGAGCTTACAGAAATCCAAAAGCTTTAAATTTGTAAATGATCATTATTACACAATAAACTAGTTTATACTGTATCTTGTACTAGTATTTACATGTATCTGCCTTTGACTGAGTAGCTTTACCTTACCCTCTGTGTCTCTCTTTCATTTTTTCCCTCTCAAACTTACACTATAACCATTAAATTTTTGTTCTACCTCTAACTCTTATCTATTTTTTTTGCCTATCATTAAATTTGTCTGTGCTCAGTATTTTGAAGTCAAATTTCACAAACACTCTCCTTAGCTGATGTTTACAATGTGTTCTACCTATTATCAATCCATAGTTTGTGTTTCACCCTGTTTACCCCGAGTCACATTTTTAATCCTTTTATCTGTTACATCTATGGGCAATGTTCAACAGTTTACTACACATATAAGTATGCTTGCCTTTGATCATCAAATGCCCCCCCCCCCCTCCTTCCTACCTTTTGTCTGGGTCAGGTTTCCAGCCCCTGTCCAGGACACCAGGTATATTCTCTATAGGTATCTGTCTCACTCCCTCCTTGAAACACTTCAGTCCAGGGTACACCTTCTGCATTTCTTGCTGTTTTCTTTCTATTATCTTTTTTACGATCTGTAAGATCAAATTATAAATTCAAGACATGTTGCTTTATTATTTATTAATTATAGATTGCAAAATAATATAAGAATGAATTTGTCAAAACAGATCTAATACACTTCCTTCTCCATTTTTTTTTACCTATATGTACATGTATATATTGTATTTAATTCAAAGACATATATACATGTACATTTAGTTGTAAACAATTTTTCCATGAACAGTGCACATGTAATTTACTTTTAATTAAATTTGAAGATCTGAGAATTATTGTAACATATCAATTAAATTACCTCTCTTTGTTTGCGTATTATACTTGAGAAGTTTGTATACGAGATCTTCGGGTTCAGTTCACAACCCATGAGTGTGGCCCCTTCGTAATCCTTTATGTACCCCAGGTATGCAGATTTGGCTAATTTTATCTCCTTTGAAAACCCCTTCAAACAAAATTAATCATCAATTCATTTACCGGTTGTGCATATCATTTCAACTATACAGACATGTATGCATTTATTTGTATATAGATCACCTAGGATATGTTAGTTTTTTTTTGGTTATGAAAATATCTTTTCTGTAAAGTAAAATACAACATTTTTGCTTTGGATAACATTTAACAGTTTTAACTTACAATATTTACATTTGCAAATGTTTTCTTTTATACAACACTATTAAAAGCAACGCGTATCTATATCCGTATAAACACGAGCTCCTTGTGTCATAAATGTTCGACATAATTTCCCAGTGACATCATAAAGGGTCGACGCGCAATCAATAGATCAAACTCATGCCATTGAGTTTGAAAAAATAAAACATTTCACGCGTTAAAGGATATAATCAGGCTATAATATGAATAAGTCACAAATGTAAATATAAGTAATAAGGTATCATTTTAAAACATCTATCGGGATATACATGTAAACACGGGTTGGTACGAGATCAAACTTACCATCAAGCCCTTCGTTCTTTATAGAATTTGATCTCATGACCAACCCATATTTATATCCCGATAGATGATTAAAAATGATACCTCATTTCTTAAATGAATTTTTTAATAATTCCCTTAGTAGAACCACTGACAATCTTCTGGAAGTACCTGTTTTTTGAAGTAGCCAATAGCGTACTCATCAGCAAATGTCAGAAAATGTAAGATACTGTGACTGATGTGATAATCCTTCAGGTGGTTCATCATGTGGGTACCATAGCCCTGAGAAAATAAATTAACAAAACTTTTTTTTTTTTTCACAAATTCACTGTCAAGATCATTATCATAAATACTCAACGTTTTAGATATGTAGACACAGAGCAATAAATAATTCATATGCATGTATTACAAAGCCTGGCTATAGAGATGAAATTTAATGTATAATTATGCAACTCTTCAGTGAAGTTTTCTTCCCTTGACCTGTTCTCTGGGGATACATTTTGAAAGACTATATATGTAAAATCTTAGGTGGGGAACTCTTTACTTGAGTTTTCTTATCTTTACTTGATCATTGCAGTGTTTTCTTACCTTGACTTGTTCGTTTGAGGATACAGCACAGAAGACGATTTCTGTGAATCCCTGGGTGGGGAACATTCTGAAGCAGATTCCTCCTATCACTTTGTTGTCCTTCAGGAGGGCCAGACATTTGTGCTTCCTGTCATAAAATGTCAGTAAATTACATTAATTTCCATCTCTTTGCAAACTATGAATTTTATTTTCAAAGTGCACTTCTGAAATCTAGAATTTGTACTAATTTGCACTTCTGAAATTCAGAGTTTGTACTGATTTGCAAGCCAGGATTTTTTATAAACATCGACAGACAAGGACTTTCATGCATATCAACATTTTATTTATATATAAAAACCAATAAGTTAACAACTCACGGATCAAATACAAGTCTGGTGATGTATTCTTTGGGCATTCTGGGAAGTTGGTGGGAGAAGACATTCTGTAGGCCGATCAGCCACACCAGCGTCTGTTTGGAGGGCTTCTTACTGAGACTATTCCCCACCACATGAAACTCAATCACCCCCTTGTTCTCCTCTCTCCTGGCTGCCTCATCTCGAGCCACATGGGCAGGGAACAAAGTGGGCTACAGGGAACAAGAAAAATAACATGTTAAAGACAGTTACCTTACCATTAAATTTTGGTGATAAATTTTATCTCTAATCATATTGATGAGCATTATTTTCGACACTGCTTTTTACAATATACAATGTACCATAATTAAATTAATAGTAGTTTTCTTAGTTTCAATTTGAACTCTAGATAGAAGTACAGTTAGAATTCCCAAAGTATAAAGCTTAAGAAATAATGTAAATAAAATTTCTGCATTAAAAAAATACTTCAAAATTACTAAATGCTTGTTTGAGCACAAAATTTCTATTCTGATAATTACTTCAGTAAAAAGTACATGTCTAACTGTACTTACATGTACATCTGGTCCCACCATCTGTTCAGGTTCAGTAATGGTGGTTACAATACTAGTGACCAGTATAACAGTATAGCAGTATACTTACATCTGGTCCCACCATCTGTTCTGGCTCAGTGATGGTGGCTGCAGTACAAGTGACCAGTATAACAGTATACTTACATCTGGTCCCACCATCTGTTCTGGCTCAGTGATGGTGGCTACTATACTAGTGACCAGTTCTTAGGATATACTTACATCTGGCCCCACCATCTGTTCTGGGTCAGTGATGGTGGCTACAATACAGTGACCAATATAACAGTGTACTTACATCTGGCCCCACCATCTGTTCTGGGTCAGTGATGGTGGCTACTATACTAGTGACCAGTTCTGAGGATATACTTACATCTGGCCCCACCATCTGTTCTGGGTCAGTGATGGTGGCTACAATACAGTAACCAATATAACAGTGTACTTACATCTGGTCCCACCATCTGTTCTGGCTCAGTGATGGTGGCTGCAGTACTAGTGACCAGTATAACAGTATACTTACATCTGGTCCCACCATCTGTTCCGGTTCAGTGATGGTGGCTACTATACTAGTGACCAGTTCCGAGGACACATCGCCCTCAATTCTTTTCCTCTTTACATCCTCAGGACCAAACGACTCCTCAAGTTTACGCTTCAGCTCAGAACTCCCTGTTAAGATTAGAATATTTTAAGATTATTGTGTCCATTCACCTAATAAACACGCATTTAAGAGGAAGCTACATTTTAGATGTATACAAATTGCAAATGTCTTTCTAAAAGGAAAGTAACCTGTATGTTTCCCCATATAAAATCATTAAAATAATTTGGTGCACAGAGTTTTTCATATTCTTTACTTAAAGGTGCTTAGACACAGATTTTAAATTAACATTTTCTAAATTTTCTGTATAATATCACGACTTACATATTGCAATAGCATTTCACACGAAAATATAATTAAAAACTTATTTTATCTGGAAATTATTGGAACTGCGAATTCCTGGACGCGTTTGATTAACACACCTCTGCACTTACACAAATGTTAACTTTATCCTTAATATTTAAGAAAAGAAGCGATTTTGTTATGTATTAATAAAAAATATTACATCTATAATCCAGAAAATTCAGAGTAGAAATGTTCGAAAGCAAAACCAACTCACTTCAATTGTGTTCAATTGTTAAACTCTGCACACACCACTGAGCACGGACTTACAATACTGCGAGTGGGTTTTGTTTTCGAACATTTCTACTCTGAATTTTCTGGGTTATAGTTTTAATATTTTTTCATTAAGACACAACAAAATTGTCACTTTTCTTAAGTATTAAGAATAAAATTAAAATATGTGAAAACGCAAGGATGTGTCAATCCAATGTGTCCAGAAATTCGAAGTTTTAATAACTTCGAGATGAAATAAGATTTTTATTATATTTTAGTATGAAATGCTAAAGTAACTTATAAGTCATGAAATTATACAGAAAATTTGAGAAAATATTTACTTCAAATCTGTGTCCAAGTATCTTTAAGGCTAGTAAATAGTTCGGTACAAAGAAATTTTCATATTCCTCTCATAAGCCTAGTAATCATACACTGTGCACTAGCAACTTTGACTGAGACAAACAGAAATTTGTTTTTCCCTACCTGTGTCTGATCTTGAAGATCGCCGGGCTGCCACTACCCCGGGGCTGAGATTGATGGAGGTGAAGTTCTCCCCCACTTCCTTAGCTGTAGGGGTAGAGGGCACTGACCCTGTGGACAGAAATCTGTTCAAACCACTTACTCCAGTAGCTGAGGATGGGGTTGTAGCTATAATTATAATATTAATAGAAACCTACATACAATTAAGGAAATGCAATTTTTTTTTTATAATAATACTATGAATTAACTTAAATCAGTTTATTTTTTCCCTTCAATTTCCTAAATTTCACACCAACAGAAAAATTTCTTTTCCCTGCTCTGTGAATACAGGATGATTTCCACAGTCTCTAAGGCACACTGATGTGTACATTTATGTGTAGTCTCTTATCACTTACGTGTGGTGGGAGGTGAACCAGCAACATTAGCCGCATTCTGTGAAAAGTCAGGGTCCCAGATTGGAGAATTTGTGCCATAAACCTCCTCTTCCAACATCGATAAAAATCTACAAACATATCAATCATGATATGTGAAATGAATTTACTCCATATACTTTTTTCCCACACTGAATAAAACATCAAATACCTGATAAGTATGCTAAGTTTTTATCTCTTTTGATCTAGACTTGTGAATTTTTGAGTGAGTGATCTGTAATGCTAATTCAAATTCCTCAGTCTTTAAATTACAATCTCAGCCTCCCTTTCCCAATTAAGCTATTTCATGGACCATAGCTAAGTCATTTCAGTACAACCTGCATAGACATGTTTATATATGATTCATTTATCTACCACAAAAATGACTTTATACCCACATTCAGCTTCATCTTCAATCTTATGTTCACCTTGGAAAGTGAGTAAGAACTAGAGTTCTTTTCTCTGGTGGCATTCTCTCTTTTTCTGCCCTGAATTTGTCCAGCAGTTGTCTTCTCATGGTTTGGAAAACAGAGCGCAGCACAGTCCTTCCAAAGATCAGGGTGGTCTCATAGCGAGGCAGGCTGTCACAGAACGCTGGCACGTGACAATAACACAACCATCTGCAAGGACATGTATAAATTACACTTTCACTGAAGTGAATATGATTATCACCATACATTCTATACAGCATTTATGAAGTCAAACTGGAGAGGTGAAAAAAGGAAGAATTCTGAAAATTCCTATTCATTTTCTTTAAATTTGTTTTTATATAAGAAGCTTTAAATTTATTTACAAATGTGGATAATTAATTGTCACTTTGACATAAACCTAGCCATAATACATGAACATCACATTCTCTTTAAATATCTGATTTCCTTGTATCATAACAATAAATTTATTTCACATCATATCTTTGATATACTCTGTAATATACACAGCATGCATCAATAAGCCTCCTTTCCCTCCCTTGAGTTTACAAGACACTTTGGAAGATACAGCAAACACTGAAAAATTCTATGATAAAAGTCATCACCTTGTGTAGTTGACTTTATAGGTTTGCATGTCCTCTGGTCCGGCGTGTTGTTGTCGACTTGTTGGAGTCTCTAGTTTCCAGTGATTCAGGCAGTGTAGGAACATCTTAGCTAAATCATACATAGTCTGCCATTCTCGCTGCGCTAGATGCCCAAATTTGTATACCACAAAATTTGTCACCCCCTGAAACAAAGACCAGATATTCTTTAAAGATATATACTTGCGTATTGCTGCTTTTTACCTAAAAATTTGATTACACACAAAATAGAAAATGAGCCATTTACATTTAGAAACATTTTAAGGATAAAGTGTATTCTTGATACCTATCTAAAAACATGAAATTGTTTGTATTAGAAGGTTAGATGAATAGTTTTGCATCTATATCATTATTTATATCAACTGATTAATATCGCACCTTGGCTATACTTGGCTTTTCAAATGGAGGACTCCCCAATGGTCCTTCTATGGTGGGATTACTCATGTTGAGGATGCATTTTCTTAGAAGCTGTGATATACAAATAAAATAAATCAATGAACTGTACATAAACTATAAAAAAAAAAATAATAACATAAATATATTAGGCATGTTGATAGCAAACAAAAATTCAAATCAATAGTTCTGCAGTTATCCTTTTCATTCTCCTGGGCATATTTACTTTAAACAGGAAAAAGTAGACTTGTTTTGTTTCCGCATCTTCCTCTTTGTGAACACACATGAACAAGTTCTCGACGTCCACCACAATTCTAAGCAGGCGATTTAGCTCCTCCTCCTGTGTGTTGTCCAAATGAGAAACATGAGCGCCTGCATAAAAGGGCAATAAGCATAAAAAAGTATCAAACAGACATCAAACCAGGATCATTATATTGAAAAACTATAATTATGAAATCTCAAAACAAAAAATTCAACCTAAATACAACATTAACATACATGTACATTTAAAATTTTTATTAATCTGAGCTGGTTTGCAGCATATAAAAAGATTTTAAAAACATGATGAACAAACGCCACAAATTTCTTAAGCTGCAGAACTGTAGCTCTCTGGGAATTAGAAAATTCGGACAAACTGGCAGAGGAATGCACTTAATGCAACAAATAATACTGAATCTTGTGACAAAAGATGTTATGCTGTAATTCAAAGATTTTTACAATTTCAGATATGTAGCTCTCTAACCTAGTATATGTCTGAAAATTTTTCCAGAAAGCAGTTCTGTAGCTACATTTTGTGTACTATACTACTATTGAAATATAACAATTTTAGATACAAACTCAGTGTGTGGTTACAACTTCTACAGGGGTCGGTCAGATTGGCCAGTGGCTGTGATACGTCAACTCGAGGAGGGGTAGGAGGGGGGTTGGGATTCTTCCAACCATTGCACTTACAATTCTCTGTCTAAAAAACAAGAACATAAATACAAAGTTCTGCATAACAAATGCTTGAAAAATTCTAATGCAAGGTGGAAGTAAATGCATGTAGGTATGTTAAAAATGTTACAAGTCTAAAATATAAGGCTATGCTGTGTATATGTTCTTAGAATTATTCATTTAATTCAAATTATATTCCATATAACAAATAGATTATTTTCAGGGAGATAACTCCATTGTTTACAAAATTATGTACCTTGCAGGATGAATACACGGCCAATTTCTCCAATTTTTTCGTTCTTGAATAATTTTTAACCATCGCCTTTTTCTGTGCAATGCGCTGTAGATTATTGGGACGCGACATTTCACCCGTTGTTCCTTGTGTAAGAAGTTGCTTTCCTTGACTTTGTGCATCTTGGTCATTTTGCTGAGGCTTCTCTTCGTCGGCCATACCAGTCGCTTATATCATTAAAAATAAAAATTAAGGCCGCTAGGGTTCGCAGAAAATCAAAACTTCCGGTTCAAAAACACGTGTTGGAATTTCTGACAGAATGGCTGCGGATGTACAGCAGCAAGCCCATCGTCCGGGCGCCCTTAAACAACAAAACAAAACACATAAACACGGGAAACACAAAAGTAAAGGTCAACTTGACAAAGAAACAAAAGGTAGGTAGAGTATCGTTTGAATGATTTTTTTTTCCAGAGCCAGTTCGAATTTCCTCGTAAACTTACATTTCTTTAACATGTTTAAGGGAGAGTCAATGTAAAGACGTCCACAAAGAAAAACAAAGCTCAACAGAGAAAACAGGACAGAAAACACCATGTAAGTTCTTAGTTTCATTTTCTAAGGTTTTAGTCTCGCATCATATTCATCACTGTGCGTCTAGTCTTCTCATTGATTTGTCTGGTCCAGGTAAAATACACGCACATGCTTAATCCGGGATTTCTCTGACTCTTATCCCTGCCTTTATATTTTGAAACGTAAGGGAGGATGTCGAAATTTAAAAAAGGGGGTAAGAATCCAAGAAATCTCAGATTTAGTGCATGCAATACAATAATTCTCTATTGAGAAGTTGATGGCTCATTTTAATACTCCCCCTCAACTTCTCTACGAAAGGCCTAATAAAAGCAGTTCAGAAATTGACTAAATGCAGAACCAAAACTGGGTCCCACTTCGATTGGTGTTTTAGGATTGATGCATTATCATTAGGGCTGTCACGGTTCCCCAAAATAACCGAAAACCGTGGTCCAAGTTGTTCAGTTCGGTTTCGATTCCATTTTTCCAGATTTCGATTCGGGTCTGGTTTATATTATTAGAATCTGTATTATACAAAAACGGTGTCAAAATCAAAAGAATGATGGTGATAACAGTGATAAATAAACATCACTACTGTAATTTACTTCATCCATGACAAAACACTTGTCATGAAAGGATGGGATAATTATGAAAATGAGAAAGAGGCGTCAGGTTGGAGCTAATATTCGGCCTAGTAGTCCTAAATGTAACAGATAAAAAATTTTCAAGTCTAATTCTTGAAATTAAGGTTTAAAATAGATATAAATAACCAAACTGAAAAACCCAAAACGGAACCGAAAATTTACAGAACCGACCCTACCCTAAAAATTTTGGAACCATGACAGCCCTAATTATCATAGACATTCAAAAACATTCATCACACTAGATTTGTGTCAACAGATTCATTTATTTATTCAAAACTGCGTTTGAACCCGGTTGACCTCTAAGAAAGTCTAAAACTTTTATCCGGATAGATTGGATTAAATATTTCAGTGTTAAATAGTTATATATAATACTGTGATGAATGTTTTTTTAAGTCAGCAGAATCGGTATTTTTAATCGCATTTCCATTGCAAAACAACATCTGTGCATCCCAAATATGTCTATGATAATGCATTGATCCTAAAACACCGATCGAAGTGGGACCCAGTTTTGGTTCTTCATTTAGTCAATTTCTGAACTGCTTTTATTAGGCCTTTCATAGAGAAGTTGAGGGGCGGGGGTATTAAAACGAGCCATCAACTTCTCCATAGAGAATAGCAATACAATAGAAAAAGGACAGGTAGTCAGGAAATTGTCTACTTCTCATGAAAACTTGAAATGTAGGCTAAAATAACTACAGCAAGCTATTTTGATTTGCATGAGTTGTGATGACATAGCTAAATCTGCGGTATATAAACATGTATATAAATTAGCTATTTTAAACAATTTCAATAGACAGTGATTGTCCAGTATTAGTAAAACCTTCGTATGTAGGATGAATCCAAGATTTTAGAAAGAAACAACAGCAAAAATTATCTAAAAAGTGTTTTCTTACAGAGAGTATATTTTTCAGGTTGCACAAGTCCGAAAACAGAAGAGAGAAGAGATTTTAAGCCAGAAAAGGAGCAGGGGAGGCAACCTATCACCTCCTTATTTTGTGGTCAGTAAGAAAAATATGTTATCTTAAATATTAAGGAGTCAGTCAGAGATTTTTCAAAAGATGTGAAAAAATTTGAAAGGGTTAACAATAGTTAAATTTACTATAAAAGACATAGGATTTGAAGATTATTTACCAGTAATTTTAACAACTGAAGATAATATCTTGTGTGAATCGACTAGTATGAACTATGAAAGCTGATTTCCAGTATCCACTTTGATACAGGTGGTACTATCTCTACATGAAGGCCTGGATGTGAGTAGTGTGTTAGAAGTCTTGAAGTCATGTGATGAGTCTGCTGTTGTCACACAGAATGAACAAGGGGTCATCCATGTCAGGTAGAAAGCAGAAATCATATACCAGTCTCCGACATACATGTACTCTTTAACTAAGACTGTGGATAGAATTAAAAAGAGAATCCACTATCTTGAGTTTTTATATATAAAAAAAATGACACTGTTGCTGATATTTATGATAATTTATATACACAGTCACTGTATATGTACTAGCAATACAGCAAAATACATGTATAATGCCTTGATATACTGGTACATTTTTTTTTTTTTTTGTCTATTGCTTGAAAATTTGACAAATTAAATTTTTCCAAAGTCTAAATGTAGTATTGAGATTTACATATGATTTTAAATGTTCACAATATTATAGATTCCTCTAGAAACTGCCAATTGAAATACTTTCACTATTTGCTTAATTATTATTAATTATGTTTCACCTGCAGTGTACCCCGATTTAAACAGAGAATATCCTTTTACGTCCCAGAGTTTGCAAACTTGTACGCTGTTATGGATTCGGTGAAAGTGGCCGACTCCTTGCTGTGTGTCCTCTCTCCGGAAGGAGGAATTGACGAGTATGGAGAACAAGTGTTGAAATGTTTGTTTGCTCAGGGAATCCCATCTGTTACGTTTGTGACACAGGTTTGGAAATTAATGGTACACTGTACCAGTAAATGTGAAAGAAACATGAAGAATTTTATATTAGAAAATGAAATTAATGTACAAATGGAAAGATTAAGAAATCAATCATAATTGATGGGTTACAGCCCTTTTTTTTCTTTCCTTTTTTTTTAATTTTTGAAAGATGCATGTACGTGTATAACAGCTCTTATTTTAGTTTCACACTTATTATCATTCAGTATGAAAGAATAATGATTAGTGACATATGTATAGAAAGAATAATGGTTAATGATGTATTCTATGTATACTCCTTGTGACCTTCCAACAGAAAGACTTGTATGATCATTGATAACTGATAGTGAGTGTTTGATAATCTATTTTTTCAGGGTTTGAAAAAAATGGGAGGGAAAAAGCAATCAGAGGCCAGAAAATTTCTACAGAAGAAAATTGAAAAGTGGTGTGTAAACTTAAACCATGCATTATCCTCTCTCTTTCTCTCTCTCTCTCTCTCTGGACCTTTTTAAAGATTGTTTTGTGATCTTTTGGGTTTTTTTTCTTTTCTTGTTACTATTAAAAATGAAATTTTTTTATTCCTTCAAGATATTAAAATGTAAATTTCTTGTGTGCATCATATATTTCCTCTTTTCAGGTAAATTTTGTCAAATTTCATTGCAATCAAAACAGAATTTTCTTTCATGTCTACATAAACAGGTTTCCCCATGAAAAGCTTCATAACCTTGACTCAGAACAAGATGGCTTGTTGATTATGAGGAATGTAGCAAACCAGAAAATCAAAGCAGTACACTACAGAGATAACAGACCACACCTGATAGCAGAGGAAATTCAGTTTGAGCTAGACAATGAAGAGGTGATTGTTATGTTATGGGATATTTTGTTTTTAGTGTTGCTTGAGAATATTAGTCTATAGGGAAAAAATATAAGTGATCAATATGGTGTACACTTTTGATGTAACTACCTGTCTAATAAATTGGGGGAGTATTTTCTATGACATTATTTAAACTAAAGTTATTTGGGGAAATATATTCAATTCCATCTAAGGAAATTCTTGACATGCCTTATTATACAGAAATCATAGAAAAAGCTCCGTGGTTGAGAGGGAAATGTAAAATGCTAAATGAACACTCCTGTAAATTTCAGGCACCTACTGGAACTCTAAAGGTGACCGGGTTCCTGCGAGGGAGAAGCCTCTCGGCGAATTCTCTTGTTCATATTGTGGGCTGGGGAGACTTCCAAATGACGCAAATTGATGCTAGGAATGACCCCTACCCCCTTAATCCAAAGGCCGACAGACAGAAGGTTTGTATTTAGTACATCTCTCTTTCATGTATGTAGAACTTCCACTGGTATATACCGTATTTGGCTGAATATAATACGCACTTTTTTCCCAAAATAATTTTCTGTGAGAAAGGGGTGCGTATTTTACACCACAGTGGGATTTTGATAGGTTTTTCTTTCAATGACATGTGAAACACGGCTATCATACGCACATACCGTAGTATTACCTAGAGACTTGTGCAATTTCTTGCTGTTTATCGCCGTATTTAAAACTTCGGAAAGTTATTGTTGGAATGTAGACTTGTTAAAAATATTATATTTATAACCTTTTGATAGTTAAATTAAATTTAAAAGCAAGTTAAAATTAATTTGAGCTGCATGTTCATCGTCTCCGTGTAGGCCGCCATTAACGATGTTATTTATAGATGTTCACACATTCCTTTGCCACGTGCTTCCGTAATCATAGTACACATGTACCTATAGCTAATCAGTCAGACACTCGGTCAAAAAAGTAATGTCATTTTTTAATGAAATACAATAAAATTTATTTTAGGTTTTAAATAACTCAGTGAAAATTCATTTCAAAACACCCCTCTATACGTCCCAATGAATGGAAGCCAATGTTGTGAACACACGCGCTTGTCACTTGATAATTACCCCCCCAACACCCCTCCAGGCAATTAAATTGTTTACCGACTCCAAAGCATTGTTTTTACAGTTAGAGCACTGATTATGTACTGCCCTTATTAATGGCTTTGATTATTTTCTTTGTTAAAAATCGGGGGTTGGTTTATGATCTTTCGTATGTATAAGCGTGTGTTGATTACGACACATTAAACAGTTAAACGCTTGTTATGTTCCCCAAACGAAGTTTGGGAACATATTGTTTTTACTCTGTTTCTTATTATTATTATTATTAAGGTCTTCCGTCTCCACGGAAGACCTTATAGTGATTCTATTGTTTCTTCTTATTATTATTCTTTTTTTTTTAGACAAAATTTTGTGCACGCGATTTCTCAAAAACTATTCAATGAATTTCTTTGAAATTTTCAGGGATAAAAGGTCTTTATATGAATTTTATATAAAATTCCGTTTTTTGGTAAATTCGGTTCCAGTGCCAAGTTATGGACAATTTCCTGATTTTAAAATGAAATTTTGTCCTCGAAGGATCTAAGAAACGGCTAAAGATATGAACTGGAGACTTGTTAGAGATGATAGACCATGACTTCTACATGTTCGAAATTACCTTGGTTTTCGACGTCAGTACTTCCGGTCGTCACCGGAAGTGTTCAAAGAAATCGAAAATTTCAATTTTTCTTTTTTTAATCAAATCTTGCATCACATTATTGCAAGTCTTTCACAGTTTCGAAAAATGTTTGTCCCACCGGAAACAAAAACGACTACTTCCGGTTATAAGAGAAAAACTACACAATTTGAGTATTTTACTTTCCCATGAATATCTTTTATAGGTAAAGCATTTGAAATGATTTTTAGATATGTTATTCAGATTGCAAATGTCTATAATAACGTCAAATATCTTTGCAAAATTCACTTCCGGTCGCGTGTTTTTCTGTCCTCAAAGTGAGAAAATATCTGAGTGAGATCTCAGAAACGGTAAGAGATTAAGACAACAAACTTTTATGAGTAATAGACCTTGAGGAGTAGACAAAACCATTTGGGTTAAGAGCGTCAGTCGTCACTTCCGGTCGTCACAGGAAGTGATCAAAGAAATCGAAAATTTCAACTTTTCTCTTTTGGAATAAGACTTGCATCATATAATTGTATCTTTTTCACAGTTTTGATATGTGTTGGTACCACCCGAAACAAAAAAAAATACAACTTCCGGTTATAAGAGAAAAACTACACAATTTGAGTATTTTAATTTCCCATAAATATCTTTTATAGGTAAAGTATTTGAAATGATTTTTAGATATGTTATTCAGATTGCAAATGTCTATAATAACGTCAAATATCTTTGCAAAATTCACTTCCGGTCGCGTGTTTTTCTGTCCTCAAAGTGAGAAAATATCTGAGTGAGATCTCAGAAACGGTAAGAGATTAAGACAACAAACTTATATGAATAATAGACCTTGAAGAGTAGGCGAAATCATTTGGGTTAAATGTCAGCCGTCACTTCCGGTCGTCACAGGAAGTGATAAAAAAAATCCAAAAATTAAACTTTTCTTGTTTAAATTAAAACTTGCATTACCTTATTGCATCTCTTTCGCTGTTTTGAAATATGTTAGACTCCTCCGGAAACAAAAACGTCAACTTCCGCTTTTAGGAGATAAAATACGTTATTTCAATATTCAACTATCTCATAAATATCGCTTATAGAAAAAGAATTGAAATGTTTTAATACATGTTGTAGATACTGCAATGTCTAGAGACACGTTAGAGATTTTTTTTTTTTTTTTATAAAATTCACTTCCCGTCGCGTGTTTTCCTGTCCTCAAAATTAGAATTTTTTCTCACAATTGCTCGGCAACAATAAACGACTGGAATCTGAAACTTTCAGGACTGGCAGTCTGTCTTTAGTTTATTTGCATCGTATGAAAATCGTGTGTCGCCGTTACTTCTGGTCGTGACAGGAAGTGATGCAAAAAAGTGAATGGTTAATGGTAAGCACGTTGGATTTTAATGCTGTTGACCAGGGCTAAATCTCCAGAGTGTCTGAATTTCTTTTATCACTTTTTCAGCTTGAATTTTCGTTTTTATTTTCAGAATCGGACGGAAGACCTCTCATTGCTCGCAATGAGTTTCTAGTTAAGGTCTTCCGTCTTCACGGAAGACCTTATAGTGATTCTACTGTTTCTTATTATTAAGGTCTTCCGTTTCAGACGGAAGACCTTATAGTGATTCTACTGTTTATTATTATTATTATTTTTTTCCCGTTTTTTGTCCAAGCGATTTCTCAGAGATGGCTTGTTGGATTTTCTTGAAACTTTCAGGGATTATGACAAATAAAATAAACTAAAAACATTTTTAAGGATTTTGAAAAATTCACTTCCGGTCGTCAGATATGTCCAATTTCCGTTTTTTTCAAAAGAGATAATGTCCGGACGATATCTCAAAAACGGTAAAAGATTAAGACCTCAAACTTTCAGGGATTATAGATCATGACAAGTACGTTTGCAGAATATGTTTAAATCCCTCAGCCGTCACTTCCGTTCGTCACAGGAGGAGATCAAAGAAATCGAAAATTTCAACTTTTCTTATTTTAAATAAATCTTGCATCGCATTATTGCATCTGTTTTACAGTTTCGAAATATGTTAGTCCCACCGGAAACAGAAATGTCAACTTCCGGTTATAAGAGAAAAACTACATAATTTGAGTATTTTACTTTCCAATAAATATCGCTTATAGATGAAGTATTTGAAATGATTTTTAGATATGTTATTTAGACTGCAAATGTCTAGAGTAACGTCAAATATCTTGGTAAAATTCACTTCCGGTCGCATGTTTTACTGTCCGCAAAATAAGAACTTGTCAAAGTGAGATCTCCGAAACGGTAAGAGATTAAAACACCAAACTTATATGAGTAATAGAGCTTAATGAGTAGGCAAAACTCTTTGGGTTAATAGCGTCAGCCGTCACTTCCGGTCGTTACAGGAAGTGATCAAAGAAATCAAAAATTTAAACTTTTCACTTTTGAAATAAAACTTGCATCATATAATTGAATCTCTTTCACAGTTTCTATATGTGTTGATCTCACTGGAAACAAAAAAACGACACTTTCCGGTTATAAGAGAGAAACTATGTTATTGGGATTTTTAACATTCCCAAAAATATCACTTATTGATAAAGTTTTTGAAATGATTTTTACATATGTTATTGAGACTGCAATTGTCTAGTGTGAAGTCAACCATCTTAGGAAAGTGCACTTCCGGTCGCGTGTTTTTCTGTCCTCAAGTTGAGATTTTGTTCACCTAAATGCTCAAAAACACTACATGACTGAAGTCAAAAACTTTCAGAACTTATAGTTAGTTACCAGTTTATCTACATCATGTAAAAATCGTACGTTGTCGTCACTTCCGGTCGTGACAGGAAGCGAAGCAAAAATTGAATTTTTAAAGTTTTTTTCTTTTTGCAGAAATGTTTGGCTAATGCAGATGTTAGATAGACCATGACTATGCAAATTATTTTTATACATTTTATTCGTTTGGAGCACTTTCGTTCATGACGAAGTACATAAAGAAAACAGAAAAGTAATTCCGTTTGTTTTTATCTGTATCTACATATCTTTGGAAGCCTTGATATAACTTTTGTTATTATTTAGAGTAATCTTATTGAGATGATTGTGGGGTTTTTTTTCAAAGAAGTCAAGAAAACGGAAGACCTGTTATTGCCTAGGCAATAAGTATCTAGTTCTTATTATTATTATTATTCTTTTTTTTGACAAAATTTTGTGCACGCGATTTCTCGAAAAGTATTCAGTCGTTTTCAATGAAACTTTCAGGAAAAATTAGTCATTGTATGAACTTTGTTCATCACAAGGAAAATTTGGAAAATTCCATTTTGGTTCCAAGTTACGGGCAATTTCCTGATTTTAAAATGAAGTTTTGTCGCCCCTTTTTCTCAAGAATGGCTAAAGATATGAACTGGAGACTTATTGGAGAGCATAGAACGTGACTTCTAAATTTGCAGAATCGCCTTTTCGTTCGTCGTCGGCACTTCCGGTCGTTTACGGAAGTGATCAAAGAAATCGTAAAATTTCAACTTTCTTTTTTTAAATCAATACTTACATCACATTATTGCATCTCTTTTGTAGTTTCGAAATATGTTGGTCCCACCGGAAACAAAAACGTCAAGTTCCGGTTATAAGAGAAAAACTACATAATTTGAGTATTTTTCTTTCCCATTAATATCCTTTGTAGATAAAGTATTTGAAATGAATTTTAAGTATGTTATTTAGACTGCAAATATCTAGAGTAACCTCAAATATCTTTGTAAAATTCACTTCCGGTCGCGTGTTTTCCTGTCCTCAAAATGAGAAGTTGTCTGAGCAAGATCTCGGAAA